TAAAAATTGGGTCAATACGCGAGGTAAAGTATCCTAATTGGTTTAGCAAACACAGTTGTTGTAACTAAGAAAAACGGTAAGTGGCGGGTTTGCGTGGATTATAAAGATCTTAACAAAGCCTACCCAAAAGATTCTTTCCCTCTACCGCATATAGATCAGTTAATTGATGCAACTGCAAGACATGAACTTTTGAGTTTTTAGATGCATATTCGGGGTACAACCAAATTAAAATGGACCCCAGTGATGAAGAAAAAACTTCTTTCATCACAGACAGGGGGACTTACTGTTATAAAGTAATGTCCTTTGGTCTCAAAAATGCTGGAGCAACCTATCAAAGGTTGGTCACCAAAATGTTCCAAGAACATTTAGGAAAAACCATGGAGGTATATATAGACGATATGCTCGTCAAAACCCAACATTCTCGTGATCATATTTCTCATTTATCTGTTACATTTGAAATTTTAAGAAAATTTAATATGAAACTCAATCCAGAGAAATGTGCATTTGGGGTTGCCTCAGGAAAATTTTTGGGGTTTCTCGTTTCTAACCGTGGTATTGAGGTAAATCCAGAGAAATGTGCATTTGGGGTTGCCTCAGGAAGAATTGCGGTCTTGGGAAGATTTATTCCCAAATCTTCAAAAAAATGCTTTAAATTTTTCTCCCCACTCAAAAAGCAAGTTCATTTTGAATTGAACGAAGATTGCCAACAAGCCCTTAGAAATTTAAAAGCTTACTTGTCAAATCTACCACTATTGGCAAAACCAAAAGAAAGAGAAAAACTACTCATCTATTTGGCCATGTCAGAAGTCGTGGTAAGTGCTGTTTTAGTCCGTGAGGACCAAGGTAAACAATCTCTTATCTATTATGTAAGCAAGTCTTTATTAGATGCTGAAACACGATATCCACAACTAGAAAAGTTAGCATTAGCTTTGATCATGTCATCTAGAAAATTAAGACCTTATTTTCAATGTTATCCCATTATTGTAGTTATTGCTTTTCCATTACGAAACATTCTGCATAAACATGAATTGTCAGGGAGGTTAGCAAAATGGGCTATAGAATTAAGGGAATACAAAATCATTTATCAACCTAGGACTGTAATAAAATCTCAAGTATTAGCCGAATTCGTAGCTGATTTTAGCCAAGGGATGCATTTAGAAGCAGAAAAAGAATTACAAGTTTTTAATGGTGCAAACCCGGGGACTTGGATTTTATTCACTGATGGTTCGTCTAATGTAAAAGGAGCAGGCCTAGGGGTAGTTCTCATACCACCTACGGGTGAGGCTATTAGACAGGCTATAAAATGTCATTCTATAACTAACAATGAAGCAAAGTATGAGGCTGTAATTGCAGGTCTAGAATTGGCACGAGAACTCGGCATAACACAGATTACAATCAAGAGTGATTCTCAACTCGTGGTCAATCAAATGCTGGGGACTTATACAGCCAGGGAGACACGAATGCAAGAATATCTCGAAAAGGTACGAGAACTAATAAAGCAATTACAAACTTGGAAAGTAATGCAGATCCCAAGAGATGAGAATGTGGAGGCAGATGCTTTAGCTAATCTCGCATCTGCAGCAAACATAGCAAACGATGCAAATGCTACAGTCGTACATTTATTTCATTCCGTTCTCAAACCTGATAAGAACGAGGTAAATTTTAATCATTTAACATGGGATTGGAGAAACAAAATTATTGCTTTTCTACAGCGCGGAACCATGCCTGCTGACAAAAGAAAACCTTATGCACTTCGCAAAAAAGCTGCTCGTTACTGTTTACATCAAGGGAATCTTTATTGAAAGATATTCGGTGGGCCATTAGCAAGGTGTCTCGGACCTTCCCAAACAGAATATGTGATGAGAGAAGTACACGAAGGACATTGTGGAAATCCCGCAGGAGGAAGGTCGCTGGTAAAAATGCTGATTCGAGCAGGGTATTATTGGCCTAAAATGGAAGAAGAAGCAAACGGTTTCATGTCCAAGTGTGATAAATGTCAAAGATACGACAATAATATGCATAGACCAGCTGAGCTACTGCACCCTGTTATAGACCCGTGGCCCTTTATGAAATGGGGAATGGATATCGTAGGACCATTGCCACAAGCAAAAGGTCAGGTGAAATTTCTACTTGTACTTACAGATTATTTTACTAAATGGGTAGAAGCGGGAGCATTTAAACAGGTACGAGAGAAGGAAGTTAAAGACTTCATTTGGAGAAATATAATATGCCATTTTGGAGCACCAAAGGAAATCGTGTGTGACAACGGTCCGCAATTCATAGGAACTCAAATCACTGAATTTTTTCAAAGTTGGCAAATTAAAAGGATAACATCTACACCATACCATC